ATCATTGCTTGAAGTTCTTACACGTATTTGTAGTAGCTATCTAATGAACATTTGAGGGTTGTTAACTCTAATTAACTCTTGTCACAATTTGGAACCCAATCTTTTTGGCATGTCGTAATTTATTCTTTTGCATCCTTAGAGATTTAGACGCTTATGAGCATGCCTCGATGAATTTCTTTGTTTATTCTTTCGTATTCACTTGTGCTTATTTTATAGCTGTAACCTACGTCCAGAATTATTATATTATTAAAGAGTTTGGCAACCTAGAATTACGGCAACGACAACTGCAACGGGGAAAATATAATTGCTTATATTGTTGTATTTGAGCCAAAGTATACGTTACTACACTTAATTTGCCTCATTAAGTATTCCTGTTTCTTTCAAACGTACCCTAAAATAAAAATAGTCCGCGAATTCAATAAAACTCTCAAATAACATCGAACGAATGAATTGTTGCCGTAGTCATGCACCGTGAAAATGATGCAAATCACGTATTAGTTTCAACAACTACGGCATTGCACAACGCTTAAGACCATGTAATTTACATTCGCCTTTGTCTTTGAGGATTAATGCTATTGTTAATGACCATATTGCCGTTGCGGTTGCCCATGTATTTGCCGAACTCTCTATTATATTTTGCCAACGAAAATTTTAACGGAATCGATAGTCATTCGATATTTCATCCCCTGAAACTCAGCACACGCAGCATTCGTGACCTGGCGAAGCAGAAACGTTCATTTCCTACTAGCCATTATGTTCATTTCCAAATGTTCATTTCCTACTAGCCATTATGATTATGTGCAAAGACATCAATGAATGATTCTTTTATTCATTTGAGCTGTTGGACAATATACAATACGTTGCGAGCGACATTTGATGTATGCGTTCGCGTATAATTAACCCAAGAAAATTCAAAATGGCCGACATATATATATATTCGAAGGTCAAACTTTTCTGGATCCATATATATATATATATATCCATATATATATATATATATATCCATATATATATATATATCCATATATATATATATATATATATATATATATATATATATATATATATATATATATATATATATATATATATATATATATATATATATATAATTTTAATAAACTCATTAATAATTCAGGAGGAAAACACAAAACGCGTGTCGTGGTTTTATATGTGATAAAAAATCACGTTAATTTACATAAACTTTAGCTTTGATTTTCTCGGTTTAGACAAAGTTTATTTTAAAAATTACTGTTGTATTTAATGGAATTGTTTTCAGACTGTTGTTATTGTAACAGAGTGTTGTATTTAATGGAATTGTTTTCAAAGTTCAAACCTATCAGAATATATTCCATCTTATTTCGTGTTGTTTAAATTAGTGCCAATATATAACGCCATGATGGAGCATTGCTTTCCCTCGGAAATGAGCGCTTAAACGACATCGCCTTGACGAATCTCTGAAAAAATATACAAATATGTAAAATACATATATTGTTCTTAAAAAATACACTTAAAGGCCCTGTCACACTATTGCGTATCATACTAGCGTATTCCAGCGTATGAAAAATATCACTCATACGCCGGTATACGCTGACATACGCTAGGGGTACGTTAGGCATAGGTTGTATACGTTTCAAGCACGGTCGCATACGGTGACATACGCTGGCATACGGCGAGGCAGAAAATTTTTTTTAAGCATGTTCAAAAATTTTGTGCGTATCGGACGTATGCTTTATACGATAAGCATATACTCTAGGCACACGCTGAATACGCTAGAGGTACGCCAGATGTACGGTACTCATACGCTGGTATTTCAAAGGATTTTTGTGCGTATGAAAATTATTTCATACGCTTCTCATACGTTTCTCTCGTACGCAATATTGTGACAGGGCCTTAATTGACAAAACATGTGATAATTATACAATAATATGTCAATAAGGTTCAAAATGGTGGTTAATAATCTAATAACAAGTCGACCGAAAATGTTGCCATAATGGGCTCAAATAAATACATTATGGTAATAAAGGAACACTGAAAACCATTATAATGAAATATACTAACCTGGCAGATATTTGTGTATGCTTTAGTCTACATCAGACACTGTGTGACGGTTTATCTCAGGAAAAAACTCCTTCAAGGCAGGGAGTTTTTTCCAGACAGGATCCTCTCGGATTATTTGATGAAGAACAAGTGGGAGTGTAGGAAATAACTGAGAAAAATATTCCTCGACAGAAGAAGTAGTCCGTGTCTTCTTTTTCAATTGATGCAGTTTGCCATCCCGATGCTGAAATGTGTTTCGTATCAATCGAAGACAATCAGTATACCGGCTACCATTATACAATGACGGGGAGCGGTAACCTCCTCTACACAATGTGTCGAGGTCATCGTGGCCAATCACTGTTTTCCAATCCTTTGGTAACAACGGACTTCGAGGTTTGGATGGATCAAGGTTGTTCAGCTGTCTGTAAACAGCACAGTAATTCTTTAATTTAGGTTCGTTGCCTACAGTTTCTACAAATTTCATCTGCTCTTCGAGAGAGAGAAAGTAAGGATGCTTCAAGGCTTGCTCCACATATGGTCGCTTATCTAGCTCCCGAGCACACATCCGAGAAAGCAGGTCTTTGACCACAGGATCGCTGAGCTCTCTTAAATGCTCTGGATTGTTAGCATGCAAATTCATCAGTCGGACTATTTTCGGACCAAACGGATGCTTTCCTTTTGTCAAGATGTAAAATGATAACATGCCTGCAACTTGTATATCTGATTTCTCTTTCCACCTGAGTTGTATTGGTGTATCTGAAGGGTCCCGTGCCTTATGAGAAAACAATCCATCCCAGTCAATACATTCATACGCGACCCAGCCGTGTGAACCACTTTCGTTACTGGTATTGTATGTTGTTGCACCTGTAAAGTGAAATTGAGCCATTTAACAACAATTCCCCATCTTTTGGTATTCCACTTTGTTTTACAGTCTCACTAGATGAATATTTTACTTGTCAAAGGGAGAGTTTCGCCCATTAACGAATTAACCATACCAAACTACAATACCTGTCTGTTCATGCCATATATATATATATATATATATATATATATGGGTGATCAGTGATTATCCTCTATCAAATTGTATTACAGCAAGAAAATGTAAAATTTTGTATTCAATTACAACAAAAATGACTTGCATTATCAGAAAGCTTACAAAAACCTACATATAAGACATTTAAACAGTTTTTTTTTATATCTAAAATTGTTTTCGAGTTATACGCTGTCAAAAACGCGTTTTTGACCTAGTACCCAGTCCTTATTGCGAGTTTTTGGTCCAATTTTCACATTTAAAACAGGAATAACTCAAAGACTATTTGAAAAATCAAAAAACTGTTTAATTAAAAGTCTTATATGCGGTTTTTCAGTGTACGCTTTCCGATGATGCAAGTCATTTTTATTGTAATTGAATATAGAATTTCCCATTTTTTTGCTGTAATACAATTTAATAGAGGAAATCATTGATCGCCCATTTTCTCGGGATTGGGCAACTTTTTTGCTTGGGAACTTTTTTTGGTAGTGATGTACCTATATACCTTTCAAATAAACCCCAAACCAAGTATTTCCCACATGGGTGCCACGAAGCGAAATAGTTTTGGTCAACAGCCCACGGCCTATATTGTGTACAAATTCAAATGCGAGTCGTGCTCATTCACTTATGTCGGGGAGTCAAAAAGATGTTGGTGTTCCCGATGGCTTGAACACAAACCAGGCGTAAGAAGGAAGACTTTTTCAGCTATAAAAGAACATGCTGAACGGACAGGTCATGAAGTCGCTAAAACTGACGTAAATATTTTGGAAAAGGCATTAAAAACTATGACAAAAGAAGGTTTCATGAAGCGTTACATTCTGTACTAGACAAAAAATAGATCAGTTACAAACTTTTACAAAAATATCATATATATATATATATATATATATATATATATATATATATATATATATATATATATATATATATATATATATATATATATATATATATACTGGATCCAGAAAAGTTTGACCTTCGAATATATATATATGTCGGCTATTTTGAATTTTCTCGGGTTAATTATACGCGAACGCATACATCAAATGTCGCTCGCAACGTACTGTATATTGCAATATTCCAACAGCTCAAATAAGTAGAGGATCATTGCTTGAAGTTCTTACACATATTTGTAGTAGCTATCTAATGAACATTTGAGGGTTGTTAACTCTAATTAACTCTTGTCACAATTTGGAACCCGATCTTTTTGGCATGTCGTATTTATTCTTTTGCATCCTTAGAGATTTAGAC